AACGTAGAACGAAGCCAGTCTTCAGGGATGTGACCGGTGTCATAGATGTTATTGAAAAGCTGTACTATAGTTTTTAAGTTTTGTTCATTAATTAAGTGGAACGTTTCCGAATACATATCATCAGGCCCTGGAGTTTTGTCGTTTTTCATTAATCTAATCGCATGAATAATTTCACTTTCCAATATGCTTGGTCCTGATGGCATGGGAATCTCAGATGCAGGGTTTTCTGATATTTCGTCGTTGAAAAGATTAATGGTATAATTTCTCCAAATTTAATTAACAAAACAACATCCTTTAATTACGAGGAAAATGCATTCTTCAATAAAGTTCTTACCTATTCTATACTGATTGAACCCAAAGTTTATCCTTACAAATATGAATTTTAAGCAGATAGGTTTATTATGATAGACGTATCTGTTTACAACTAAAGTGTTCTTGAAGACATAATTGTATTTGGATGCTTTAAATATTTTTTTATCTTTTTTCTTTGATTTTTTTGCTTCTAACAACGGGATATACAACAAGATATACTCCCTGAAACATTAAGCTTTTTTGTCGGTCCAGAAAATTTGTTTTACTTCCTAATAGGAAGCCACGGACAAGTTGGTTTCCGTTTGGATTTTACGCAGTTTTTTATGCAGTTTACCGGAACAACTAGTTTTTTTTGGTGCGAACATCTGAGTAGAATAGCAGGCTTTATCCGCTAGTAAATTTAGCAAACATGCTTGTAATGCAATAAGTAAAATTTTGACGTTCAAGTAAACGTCACACAAGTTTACTTTACAAAAAAATCGGTTTCAATAGGTCTTCAAAAATACTTGTGCGATATTTTTTAAGTTAGTGTTACCTTCGTTAAGTTAAACATTTCTGTAATCCATGGTAAAGTTAAATTAGTACTTTTATTTTGTTTATTTCATGTGGTATTTACAATTTTTTTATTTCGTGTATTTCTTTTCCTGTCGCAAAAAACCCAGACTTTTTAAAGAATTTTTTTCTTTATTATTTCCATTGTCCACCGAATTCCTAGAAAAGATTTTCACTCCTGAAAATATGTAGGTAAAATCGAACGGGACTCGTTTTGACGATCGATCGATAACTCCTAAAATAGCAAAAGCCAAACGGCATATTAACCGCATAACTTGCCGAAAAGAGCCTTGCAAGCCCCATCCGCCTGTTCCCCATGTCCTAATGGCCACGTCGGCATAAAGGGAATGATCGCTCCGTGGCCGGAATGACAAAACGCCACAGATGCACCTAATAGCTGGGTAGTTTTCTGTCGATACGCGGACGGATACACGAACGGACTTTAGAGACAATTTTTATATCTCCATATCAATTCAGCAATTCCTCGTTGACGATGACGATGTTATTAACTTAAGGAGGTATGTCGGTATTAATTGTTAATTTGAAGATCCTCCAGTTTCCACCTCACGGGTACCTCAGCCTGAGACAAGTTCCTCGACTGTGAATGGCACGGAGGGCTAAACCCCAAGCGTGGAAGGTTCTATACCCTCGTAGGAGGTCCTGTTGTCAGAGGACCTGTTATCACCCTGTTGTCAGAGGACGATGGGAAATACCCTGTCATATAATTCAACAAGGTCTGGTCACAACCAAACCAAACCAAACCAAACAGAAAGATTCCCATTTATGATGAGTTATAGACTGTATGATGAGCTATATAACTCAAGAAAGGGGGACACAATATATAATACACAATATATTTAAGGTCGCGGTGATTAACCCCACCTCTTACTCTACATCTGCTAAAAACTAAAGTTAAACTTAAATTTTGAGTTAACGTCTTCTTTTTGCTGCTAAGTCTAGCTGGATGGGGCCTTCTTAGTTTAGGCGGAATCCATATCATGATCGATGACCTGCTGACTTGGCGACTGTCTAAATCGACTCTTACTCAGGAGATATCCAGTGTGTGTCAGTAGATTTTACACTTTTGCCATGGATTTATTTATCGTATGGCTCTTTGAAACCTCGTTTGAAACATTCAAGTTTAAGTAACAAAGTATGTAAAATATAAAAATGATACAACGCCAAAAAAGCGTGTAAAGTACCAAAATCAGTATAAACAATATAAAGTATTATACATGTCACTGAAATGCTGTAAAATCTAGGTTTTACCACATTTCGAGTTGGTTAGCGTTGTTATTTGGGGGGTGTTAATTCATTGGTAAATCCTAGGTTTAGCGCTTTAACAATTTAGAAACAAATATCTAGCCTATTCAAATAAATAATCTATCGACTCTGGGGTCGCCACCATGAAGTCCTATGGCTGGCCTTGAAATGATGTTATAGGACATTCTTCCACAATATGAGAGATGGTCTGGTTTTCCCCTTAATCACAAAGTAGGGATGATTGCTTGCCCCATTTGAATAAAGAATAGGATAACGCCAAATGAACCTTGGATAACGCCAAATGAACTAGCAAATACCGGCAGTCAGACAATCTTAGGATCTCCTGACCATAAGACACTTTCCACAAAGTTTGCCATGGAACAACAGCACGAACGAGTTTCCAGACGGTCACGCCTCCATCCAGTCACATCCTCTTTTGAAAATATTTCTTTCCTTAACATAGAAATAATTATTGACTTTTGTTTGTCATTCCGGGAGTAATAATGCTCATACAGAAAGAGTATTTACAGTGCTTAATAAGTTGTAAACAGGTACAGGAAAAGCACAATTATTTTTATCTTCTTTAAAATTTATAGTAATTACAAAATCGAGTCCGTGCCGTGGTGCGGGGAATATTATTTGTAAGAGATAATTTATTCTAAAAATATTCATTCTTCCGAAAAATATGCGAGTTTTTCAGCGGACTGCATGATTATATTATAGATTCAATTATTTTTGAAGTGAAAGTTATTTACGCGCGAAAGGAGTAAAAATTGAAGGCCGTGACATACGAGAGGCGTCAGGAAAAGTTTTAACGATCGGAGGTTAAGACTTAGGGAGCTAAAATTCGGAATGTAGATGGGGCTTGAAGAGCCCTATCTCGTCATGATATTTTGACGATGTTTCGTGAACTATGAAACTTCATCATCAATTGCGAAAATAATCGTTCGATTTGTGTATTTGGAACGTCGTAACTCAAGCCCTAAGAGCCTTGGGGCCGAAGAGAAATATCTTTTCATGATATTTTGAGAACGTTTCGTGCGCTACGAAACTCCATCATCAATGAATCGAATCAAAAAATCGTCCGATTTAAGGTTGATTCTCACTATACCTTCCATATCAGCTTCCTTTTGTTTACATTCCGTTTACATAAAATATTATATCATGTAAATGAATAGGACAATGCACACTATCCATTTAGTTTCCCTTCGGTTCCATATCCTTTCCTTCCATACATTTTTTTGGCGGAAGTTTCTACGTTTGTACCAGCTCTGTTAAAATTTTGCTGATATTTATTCATTCTTTCACCTCTTGATTAAATCTATTTAGAGGTGTGTAGTTCGCGAACGAACTAGTTCCAATGAACTATTCCGACCCCGGAATGAAAGGAACTAGTTCCTGGTTTCTCAAAGAACTAGTTCCTCAGGACCTATTCCGGGATCGATATAGAATAATATGCGACGGCGACGGATCGGCTAACGCGCGTAGCCCGATGGTAGGCAGGAGTGGGGAGTGCCAACCGTACGGTATCGGATCCGGACCTAGAGGAACTAAACTAAATGAAAGACTAGTTTCTAGTTTTTGCTAGTTTACATACGAGCGGATCGGGCCAGCGCGATTGATGCTAGGCAGGAGTGGGGAGTGCCAGCCGTATGCCGTATGTTATCGTATCCGGACCTAAAGGAACTAGAGGAACTAAATAAAAGACTAGTTTACGTGTGGATCAGCCAGCGCGATTGATGCTAGGCTGGCGTGGGGAGTGCTAGCCGTATGTTATCGGATCCGGACATAGAGGAACTATTAAAAGACTAGTTCACGGGAATCTATTCAGTCGGCAGATCCGAGATATAATACAAGGCGACGACGATGGATTCGACATTGTCTATTGCCACAGCCGGCGCGGCGTAATTACGACAGAAAATTGTCGTGGATACTGTTTTTGATTTTTAGTTTGTTTTTTAAATATTTTAAGGGAATGTTTCACTTTAGGTCCCTAAAATTAAGAAATATCTTATAAAACGAAGTAGATATTCTGAATTTTTAGACAAAAACAAAAAGCTTGAAGTGAGGAAAAACGCATTTTTTCGTAAAATTTTTGTAATATTTGCTCCAATTGATTGGTGATATCGTTTCTTAAATTCTGATTTGAGTTTTTTTTTATTTTTCTTATCTGCAATAAAACTTATAAAACCTATATGTTTTACACGTCTCGTTATATTATAAAAATTACTCCGTACATTATAAAAATTATACAGATCATATTGTGAATAGTTCTGACTGACAACGAAACGCATTAGCAAGCAAGGGGGATGTCAATGTTAGTCGGGAGCTATTGTGAACTAAAGGCCTAGTTCAAGGAACTATTCCTTTGGAGGAACTAGAACTAAGGAACTAGTTCCTCCCAAGGAACTAGAATTCCCACCTCTAAATCTATTACCTTTCTCAAAAGATACAAATTTTTAAAATAAAACTTTCGTAATGATATAAATTGTAGAATAAAAAGTATGGAACTGATACGGAACGGAAGCCTACGTATAGCGTCAATACAATAAAAAATACGGAAGGGATATGGAATGGATATGGAATAGAAACGGAAGGTATAGTGAGAATCAACCTTTAAATGGAATTTGGTATGTCGATAGATTGGACCAAGGCCAACTTGACCTGTGCGACATGTGTCACTGTGACAGTTAGTTTTGTCATAAAAAACTTTTCCATAAAGTAATTTCTAAACATATTCCCTAAAAAATCCCATAAAAATAAAATTCCCAAGTTTTTTATTCTAGGAGCTCCAAATGCCCGACGACTATATTCTAATTTTCATCAAAAAATATTTGTTTTATTTTAAAGGGGTTCAATGACAATTGAAACAATTTATTTATAAAAAAAATAATATATTAGATCTTTATTTCGATTACATTTTATGAATTGAAAATATCTTAATGGTATTTTTATCTAGTGACCTGGTGGAGCTCCACTTGGACGAGGACTGTACTTGGCGTAACATCTAGTCAAGTAAATGGCCGTTTCTTCAGCATTGGCCTGAGGCTGGGTACACTCGTTAACGATTTCGCTTAGTTTCGGAGACTGCCCGAAGATTGCCTCGGCTCTGGATTGCACGACGTCCTTATTCACCGATCCGTCGGCATTTTGCCATCCCAGATTCTGTAGGAATATAAAGCTTATTAAGATTATTTATAATTTTTTAACATTGAATTTTCTGTAAAATAAAAAAAATATTTACAGACAAGCTTTTATACAAGGTGAATCTTAAATAAGTGCAAATATTTTCAGGGCTGGTAGGTCTCGATAAAAGAAATATTTCCATTTTTTTATTTTCTCGTTCCACATATTTTTCAAATAAGTCCATAATAGACGAATTATTTCACTTCGAAAATTTAAGCACAGGTAACATAATCACAAATTACCTACAACAGATGCGAAAGAAAGCGACTGCATCGGAAACCGCTCGGCAAACCCGACACGCCTATTGAGTGGTGTAAATACACCAGTCGTTTAGTCCGGAAACCTATGCTGTGTCGCATTCGCTTGCTGGAGTGACATAGTGCGTGGTTATATGTTTCTTTTTAAAAACGCGTGTAGGATTTTTGTTGAACTTTTGAACTGTTATTTCTAAGTTTTGGTAATTTGTATATCTTATTTAATAATAATAATAATAATATTTATTTATTTCCAAATAAATATTATTATTATTAATATTATTAAATAAGATATACAAATTAATTAAATTTATTTAAAATGGGATACAAATGTGTTTATTTATAAGGAAAAATAAGATATTTATAGTATAAAAAATTAATTTATTTAACAAAATTTAATTAACAATGTGACAAAATAATTACCTTTCTATTGGTTCTATCGGACTTTTTTCGACTATATAAATCTTTATTTGTAAACTTTAATACATCAAATATTTTCAATCTAATAAATCATTTAATGATGTAAATAAGAGGAAATTTCTCACATGGGTGGTCAAATTCTATAGTTTTCATTATATCAAACAGCCTCTGAGAAATGTTTTCAACTCAAAATGCCTTTAATTATGTTTGACTACATCATTAAAAAGGGTCTTCAAATACATCAATGTAATATTTGTCTAAAATTTGCAAAAGAATCCGAATCTCTGGATAACTCGAAATTATTTACCCATTTAAAAGCCTTTGATCATGAAAGGGGAAAAATTTGTTCATTTTATTTACAGGCTGGAAAAATTATTTATATTAAATTTTGATGAGTTTTGCACTGAAGAAAACATTCAGAGGCTGTTTGATATAATGAAAACTATAGAATTTGACCAACCATGTGAGAAATTTCCTCTTATTTACATCATTAAATTATTTATTAGATTGAAAATATTTTATGCATTAAAGTTTACAAATAAGGATTTATATAGTCGAAAAAAGTCCGATAGAACCAATAGAAAAGTAACTATTTTGTCACATCTTTAATTAAATTTTGTTAAATAAATTAATTTTTTATACTATAAATATCTTTTTTTTCCTAATCTCCTACGAACTGATATAATATGACGAGTAATCTATTAAATTACTGTGAGATTATATGCCTCGATAACATATTGGTGCAGATTATTTTCACCCAAACAAATAATAACCCAAACTATACATTGATGCGGATTGTCTATGAACTCTTTCCGAAGGTCACAGAAACCTGAACGCGGAATTCGGTGTTCTTTCGCATCTGTTATAGTTAATTTGTGACATAATATACTGTGTCAATTTTAATATTTCCCACACTTAATAACTTTTTTTGTAGTTAAAAATATGAAAAATAGGAAAGACACGTCAACTTTATTTGTAAAGGGGACACTTTAAATGAATATTTTTAGCCTTCTTGTTTCAACCCCCTAGGAGGGATAGATATCGCCCCTACAATCTTAAATGGGAATAGGGGTAGGTACATCGTTTTAAAGGATGTTTAATTCTCTTTTCAGTGGTATCCTACTTTGTTGCTTTTTGTCCAGAGGTTTCCGAATAATCGCGTTTCAAAGACATTGAATTTTTGGTTTTCAGGCTAGTGTTTACACAAAAATTATAGCAATGGGTCTCCTTGTAGTACAAATAATTAGAAGATTAGATGGTAACATGGAGCCATTACATTTTTTTAGCGTCATAAACATTAATGTTTCTTTTTTCAAATTCAATTAGTGGCAACTTCCAGAGGGCATGGCCCTCCCCTGCCTCCCCTTCGCTACGGCCATGGGTGGCACCGTTTGAAAATTTGTTTCGGGATTGGCAAAATAATCTTTTGCCTGAAGGACACACACAATATCCACAAAAAGATAATGTTTGGTCTGGTATTCTTGGAAATGCCATTATTGGTCCTTTATTTATTGAAGGAAACTTGACAGGTGATCTGTATCTTAATATGCTTCAAGAGACTATCAACTCTCTTATCTCCGAAGAGCTAGAAACTGTGTGCCACTTCCCCTCCCTTTTCCATTTAAGGTTGTAAGGGTGACATCTACCCCTCCTAGGGGGTTGAAAGAAAAGGATAAAAATATTAATTTAAAGTGTCCCTCTTACAAATTGACGTTTCTTTCCGATTTTTCATATTTTTAATTGTAAGAAAGATATCAAGGGTGGGAAGTTTTAAAATTTGACACATACACACGCCAATATGTTACCGTTAAAGTCCGATGTCCGGTTCATGTCGACATTAACAGGTTAATGTTTGAGTTTGGTTTTGTTTTTGGTTGTTTTGTTTTGTGTTATTCTCGAGATTAATCGGGTAATGTCGATATTAACCGAATATCGGACCTTAAAAAACCGTAACATATACATTATACATCTCATATGTGATCTATGATTTAACCTTGATGAGGTTATGTTTTTTAACAAAAATTTAAAAATGTAATGCATTTTTTTCGAAAAATTCAAAATTTTCCATTTTTTTCGCAAAAAAACCTCATAGACGTGTTTTTGGGGTCGAAATATACCACTCCTAAAAATATTTGCACTTATTTAAGACCCACCCTTTATATACCACTTTATATTACGTACCACGGTATAATACCATAATATGGTATTATACCGTATGATTGTAAAAAATCGTCGTCAAAATTATCACCGATTCAGTTCCCGAGTCGTCTTTGACGCCGTTTTTTTTTCGATCCATTAATATTACGTGATATTACTGTACCACTTTCTATTTTCTTCGGCTCCCTAATATATTTTCACCTAAGATACGAAAATCTAGCAAAATAGAACGTAAGAAAGTGGTTCGAATTCAGCTCGCGAAATTTGACCCACATTAACTAATTAAATAAAAGCTTGTAAAAACAATTATTTGTCGTTTGTTATTATATCTTGCGGACATTTTAAAGCAAGTTTGCTCTATCTCTTCTCTATTAAATCGACGAGATCTTACCTGTGAAATACAAAGAGCGTGGGCACCGTAGTTCGCTGGTTTTTCTCCGCCGTCGCGTAGAGCTTTGAGCGCTTGCTGGTCCACGGATGTTGCTGGGTTGCTCTGACATTTCTGATGAGCTTCTTTAAGTTTCTCCTGACTTGCCTTGGCCTTTGCTGGGTCTGCTTCTAAGCGTGGCGCGGCCTATACAGTTAAAACGAGAGTTAAACGTTCGCATTTGCTTAGTACTTGATTTTTTTACTTACCAAAGTAGCTGCAACACAAGCCAAGAAAACTACAAGAGCGAACTGTTTCATTTCTTATCTTTATAACAAGAATATTATCAGAAAATACTTACAATACTGTTTATAATGCAGAGTAAAACAGCTATATATAGGACTCAGTTATGTCAATGTTACCATATCTGTTGGGGTGACTAGAGGTCACATAAACAATATTTTTTCGTCTTGTGGGCAAGTTTATCTTGTTATATAATAATTAGTTTTGAGATATGATTTTCTACTGTTTAATATTTATAATAAATTTTATATGTTTAGCAGCTTTTTCACCTGATACTGAAAAATAGACAACGGCGCATGTGTTTTACACCCGATTCATTTTGCTAACTGAATAAATTCAGCTATCTAGAAATATATTGTTGATCTCGAAAACATAGAATATCTACAAAATTACATATATTTTTAGAGAAGCCCCTCATATTTTTACGTTAAATTTAATAGAGATGTCGTTTCTAGCATGAATACTAGAAAATTAGATTTAAAATAGTGAAAAAATACCTTTTTTCTTGTTAATGATGTGTCCACCCCCTTCCATACATAATTTTAGTGATGGATTTGTTCACTTATCTCTGGACTTGGGCATGGGTATCTAAAGTATTAACCAACCTTCTATTTTATACAATTTATTGTCTTTAAAAGAAATTATAGACAGGTCAAAACTTTTTTGTTATATACATGACATCATTTGTTATACATAAAGCATATAATACATTTATTTCTTAGATTTAATGATCATGAGGACCATGTCCTTCTGGACGTGGGCTGTGTTTAGCGTAACATTTGGTAATGTGGACAGCGGTTTCAGCTGGTGAAGCTTGAGGCAGGGAACATTCGTCTATGATTTCGCTCAGTTTGGGAGATGACCCGAAGATGTGTTCGGCTCTGCTTTTGATGGCTTCTTTGTTGACAGATCCGTCAGCGTTTTGCCAACCAAGAGCCTGCAAAATTACAATGTTTTTTAATCCACAGCTTTAAAAATGTTGGGGTAAAATTATGGGAGGTAACATTTATTCGGATGGCTTATGCAAGTATTAAATTTACTTGCCTTAACTGACACTAAATACTAAATCCATTCTCGGTAACTCTCTTTTGTTTTGTCAGTGTTTAACCATGGTGATGTAGGTTATACAATATGGTCAAAAAAAATACGGCGTCAGCGATGGCTATGAAATGAAGATCGCGCTTTTATTTATTAAATTATATGAGGAATGTCATTGATGTTCATTTCCAAGCCAAATGGAGGCCGTTTTTTTCAATTAAAACGTTAGTGATTGCTTGATAAAATATGATAAACAAAGAATTCAACTTGTTCAAACTTAATGAGATGTGAACTAAGTGATGAAGTAAGTGATAGTTGTGAGATGGCCTTTCGGGAATAGCAGATATGTGCTTGCGGATTAAGCAAACGGATTCAAAAATGAATAAAGAAGGAAGAGTCAGTATTTTGAAATTTTTAAAGTAATTCTGGCAGTGAGTTCCATACTATTCAGTCCCAATAAATATCGAACTGCTCTCTTTTGAAGTTTGAAAATACGATCAAATTTTGTTGCGCAGCCCAGAATGGAAGGGCATAACGAAGATTTGATTCAAAAAGGGCATAATAGACTATTCTAGAGGTTGACAAGTTAAGTTCCTTAGAAACTGATCTTAGCGCAAAACAGGCAGCGCTTAGTTTCTTTGATAAAGCTTCGATGTGCAAGTCCTATTTTAACGAGTTGTTTACACCAAGTCCTAAGAATTTCACTAGTCCACGACGCACAGTAGGCAATATGTCCAAACCAAGTTGCAAAAAATAACATCCACAGTTAGCATTTATGGCAATAACAGTTGATTGAAAACATATTAGTTAAAGGGAAACCACATAAAACTAACAAAAAAACATATTCGGAGTCTCTTTCGAGGGGCTGTAAAACGAACTTTGCACTAAACCTACATTTTCAGTAAATTTGTGTCCAATAACTGCCTTTTTTCTACAATTTTTTAAATAGTAGGCGTTGCATTCAAGTGACACAGTATTATATAAATTGAATCGGACGACTTTAGCTTGCTGTCAATAATTATTGTGAAACTGTCATAACGTGTTTTACGTGGATTCCCGGTTGCGGTAAATTTAATGTCAAGGTAATTAAAAAAGTATCTTTTATTTTGATTTTTTGGATAAAAACTAGGTAAAGGTCAAAGTAGAACATAATTATTTAAGGTTTTTTTGATAGTGGCATATATTCTGTCTTAGAAAAGTTGAGTCAAAAAAATCGCAAAAAATCGCAACATTAAATTTATTGGAAGCGTAAGCCTCCATGCATATGTGTATAGTAAGATCCTTTATGTGGATACTTCTCATAAATTAATTGTTATAGTAGCTAGAGAAGAACTTGAAATATAAAGTTACGTATTTTTTCTCAAGATTTCCGAAGAGGTATGTCAGAAATGTCAAATGACATTTTTTGACAAATTGACAAATTTTGAGAGTACCAAATTTTTTAAATTAAATGAAATGGATTTTTCTTTCAGATTTAAAAATGTGCACTTCGTGACCATTGCATGCAGCTGTTATAAAACAAAATATCAGTAAATAATAAATGGTAAAATAAAATTTAGATATTTGTAATAGGTATAAGCTCTGTTATTTTCAAAATCGTCATTGTTTAATTCTCAGAATATGGTTACTTATTTAAAATATAATAATAAAATATTGTTCACATATTGTCTGGTATTATTAGAGACCCAACTTATTGAAATGACAAACAATCTTGAATAGATTGGATTAGTATACTCAGGGTTTTCTTTTATACATTGACACCCCCTTTATCTTTTTTATTTGACGTTTCCGAAAACTGTCTCAAATGAAAGTGGTTTTGAGTAAATTTGCCAAAAAAGTCTATTTTGCATATACAAAGTGCTTCAAAAAGTCTGGGCATGGTTCAACTTTCTTATTTCAAATTAGGTATAGAAGAATATATAAACAAGGGTATAGGCTATGCTACATAAAAGTAGTTAGGATTTTTAGGAGAAAATAAAAATCAAATAAGAAATTGGGTACTAATTTGAAATAAGAAAGTTGGGCCACGCACAGGATTTCTAAGGTACCCTGTATATGTAAAGAAGACTGTTTTGAAAAATGTATTGGAGACTATTTTATTCAAGACACTTTTTTCGAAAACGTCGAATAAAAAAGATACAGAGGATGTCAATATATAAAACAAACCCTGTATATGCCGGAGGAGTAATAATTGCTCAATATTTGTCTGTTTCACCTTGGTTCTGCCAAAAATCGTAAAATTTAGTGAAATATAAAATATTCTTACCGCCTTTTGGTAGCTGTATTAGTCAATAGATGATTTTTCCCATTTTATGAATCCCCCCACCACCCCCAACCACTCTCAAGTCAGCCAAAACTAACTGGGTTCACGGGCTACCAGCATAGAATGTTTTTACCAAATTTGAATGAAATCGGAAAAAAAAAGAATTTTTGCAACATACTTCTGGATTTTTGCCCACTGTGCGACGCCAATAGTGGTCTTGTTAAGTACAAAAGGTTGTATAGTACGTACTTTTATATGAACTTTTAAAATCTGATTCCGAAAGAAGTTATGGAGAAATCTAACGATGCTAGTTGATACTAAAAAATCATCAAGTATGTAAAGGTGTGCTTTACGATACAATATGAAATAAACTATTATTTTTTAGAATAGGCTAAAAGGATTTTGCTAAAAATATGTAATAAATTTATATTTTACGAAAACTTTTTAATTAATATTATACAGATATTTACTTATTGTTTACTACTTTTTATTAGGCATTAAAAATATCTTACCTGGGAAATACAAAGGGCATGTGCAGCATGGTTTGCTGGTGGTGCTCCTCCTTCACGCAGTGCTTTCAAGGCGGATTCGTCAACTGCTGTGGCTGGGTCAGCTTGGCACTTTTCATGAGCTTTCTTGAATTTTTCGCGGCTTTCATGGGCTGCAGCGTGGTCAGGCTCCCCGAGGGAAGCAGCCTGAAAGACATAATTTTTTCCCACAATATACAGGGAGGCGCACCTCATTCGCCTCGGTTGATTATACGAAAACAGAAAGATGTAGAAACAAAATATTTTATGGGTATATGTGGGAAGGCAATGTGCATAATTTAAAATTATTTTGAAGTGTACAGGGTGTGTCAGAACTAAGATCCATACCAAATTTATATTTTTTCTTATGGAACACCCGGTATTTTAAAAATATTAAAACTTTTGTTTGTTTTGTTTGAAAAATAAATATTTAATATTATTGCAATAAAAGACAATTATTTTTTTCTTGAGTATAGCCTAATGTTAATAAAACAAGAATGAAAGATTTTTTATCGATTTATGTTTCACACTATTTTAAAGAAAAAATTTTTTTGAATGTATTTAAGTCTCAGTTAAAAGATGTTACAGTTTGATAATAAGTACCATAAGTAAGTAGATAAACTTTAGAGAAACGAAAACACAGAACCAAACTAAACAAACATTTTTTTAAATTCTCAAAGTAAAATAACTCTATTTTGAACTTTTTTGAAAAGCGACGAAGAGAAAATATGTTTATTTCTTTTATCGAGATCTACCAGCTCTCAAAATATGTGCACTTATTTAAGACTCATCCTGTATATACACGAATAATAGGTACTAAGATTCCAGATTCGTATTGTTAGAAAAACTATTCAATATGATTTATAATACGAATGCTATACATATGATTGAAAAAAAACGGCGTCAAAGACGATTGGGGAAAGACAATCGATGATAATTTTGGTGAGGTCAATCTGTAGACGTCATTTACTAAAAGTTTGCATAGAACTTGTCAAAAATTACATAGTTATAGAAAAATTAAATATGGATAAACATATTTTTTCTCGAATTTTAAAGTACAAAGTACAAAAATAATTTTTACTCAATATAAAAATAAATTACATTCTTAAGGCCAACTTTAAAAATAAAGGAGAGTACGGGCAAATATAATTATAGTGTCAACTATAACTTTCTTTGGTACAGGGCAAGTAAACGACATCTAGGGTCAAGCCCTCGCCAAAAAAAATCTTGTCTTTGACGCTGTTTTTTTGAATTGTTCAAAACTTAAAAATAATAAACTCACCCAACTAACTGCAATAAAAGCGAAGAAGGCGACAGCAACAAACTTGTTCATTTTTATTATAAATGTGATTTGTTTGGCGGAATAAATTCAAATATGCCTTCTCGTTAAGGATGTACTGTATTTATAAGTCAAAATTGTAAACAATTTTAATTTTATCTCGTATTAAATTGCTTTTTGGAAATTTAATGATATGTTACATATGTCCAAATTAATCAATATTACTTTGTGTTTTTCTTGTTTTGTCGACAAACTTATCGACTTAGAGGCTTATTAGACGTAGAGCTGGGTACACAAAAACCGTGTCATCGTTACATGGCTAATTTTTCTTGTCTGAAGTATCCTTTTGTCTTGTCATTATGAAATAGCTTTAATAGGGCTTTACATGACTATGGAGGCTTTTAAAGAACTCCATAGTCATGTCTGTCAGTACGATTCCGGTGTTTAAAGCGGGGGCGGCCAATTAAAAGGGGGAAATTTTGACACTAAAAATATTACAAGGTACACGAGTTATAATTGCAATAGTAATATTTATTATTAAGAAACGTGGAAAATAGTTGGCAGACATTTTCCTGATTTCTGATTTATAAACCGTGAAATTCAATATGCCAAGTAATATTTCGAAAATTGTATGTTTTGAGCATGCACAAATTTTAAGAAGAGAAAATATCTTAGGAGAAAATTGCTGATTCTGAACTGTTTTCTGAAAAGCTTCTATAATTGTTCATTATTTAGTTCCATTATTTCAGTTTACGAAACTTTAAAAAAGGCATATAAAATCAAAATCAAAAATCAAAATGAAGTTTATTGGTGAAAATAATAAATATACACACACGTCACTGATATAAAAATACAAAATACAGGGTGTCCCAGCAATAAGTGCAAGTATTTTAAGGGGTGGTAGATCTCGATAAAAGAAACGTATTTTCTCTTTGTTGTTTTTCAAATAAGTCCAAAATAACGGAGTTATTTTACAAAAATTTCCAAAAAAAATGATTTTTTGCTAAAATTTTGGGAACGACTGAATCTTTTCTGGATTTTCTTTCTTGTAAATTTAATCTACTACCTATGTTCCCATATTATAGAGACATTATTTTTTTTAAATAATAACTAAAAAAATTTACAAAAAATTCCGGATGTTCAAAAATTTTTTTTCGCGCGAAAGCCTCATAGGCGTGTTTCTGGGGTTGAACTATACTACCATACTACCTAGTATGGCTAAAATACTTATTTCTGGGACACCCTGTATAGACAATAAAATTACACCCTAAAGTTGCCATGCACTGTTGCCATTTATCAAATATCTCTATATACTCTATTTCAAGTATGCCTCAGGCAACAAATCATTTTTTTAATTGTTTATTAGCTGTAAGATATTTTATACATTCAAATTTAGAAATAAGGATTAAACAAAACAAAAAAAATATGTATAAAACTTTATAATTAATTCCGCTTCAAATTAGGAGCAGTGTATACCATGTTTATAGGACCAATTCATAAGTTGAACAGTTAAATAGGTAGTCTATCTGTCAAACACGCCAAAAGAGAGAGAAAGAAAATTTGGTCCCACCACATCAAAAGAGCCGACGGTTTCTCTCGCTATTCGTCGATCCACTTACTCTGTTAGTATCTTTGGACTCTGAAAGTAGGGTTTCGCGTCGTCAGGATAACCGGCACGAGCAACGATTCTAATAGCTCGTCTTCGCAGCGCAAAAGCTCTGGATGCATGAGCCGAGTGCCCCCAAACAAGTAGACCATATGCACATACTGAATGTATGAGTGCATGGTAGGCCCTCATACAGACTTCCTTCTCCACCAATTTTGCCAGATTTCGCAAAACAAAAGTTCCTGAAGTCAATTTCCTAGCTATGAGGTTCACGTGATTGTTGAATCTAAGGTGACCCCCAGGAAATCAGCTTCACCCTGATGATCCCTGCAATCAAGTGGCCTTAAAGAAATGATTATGTTCTTGGTCTTGTCGCGATTCAGGTTTAGGCGACTTGCCGCAAACCAGTCCCCAATGCCATCCAATTGTTCATTCTTCACGTCTACCAGGGTTGCATAATCCTTAGATCTTAGAAGGAAACTAGTGTTATATGCATATACAGTCATCTTAGGGTGTTGCACTGCACATTTAACGTCATTAATGTAAATCAGGAATAGTAGAGGACCCATAATGGAGCCCTGGGGAACACCAAACCTCATCACACGTTCCTCCGACATCCTGCCTCCGACATACGTCATCTGTCGTCTTTCTGTCAGGTAACTTCCAATTAATCGACAACCATCTGAGTCAACACCATAGTAGTGCAGTTTCCGGACAAGTATATCATAAGAGACACAATCGAAGGCCCTACAAAGGTCGCAGAAAATGGCGCTCACAAACTCTCCCTCCTCAAACCCCCGCAGAATGCCCTCGCACAATCTACCCCAGTGTCATCACTGTTAATCACTGTTGATGTCTACATTATCTGATTACTGTTGGTGATATAGTAGACGATGCACTATACTTAATAGTAATCTACAATAATTAAATAATCTACACTGAATAAAATTAATTTAAGTATTTTTTTGTAGAAATTTAAGAATGTGAACTTATAACTTATAAACATACAGAATGTGTACCTACCTACAACGTAGGAGGTGGCAACATTGCATTCTCTCGAAGCACTATAAACACATTTCCGGAAACCGAACAAGCAGCACTTAAAAGTTTTTCAATATTTTCCGGAAAATGTCGAGAAGAATAAAAAATAATACGTATTTCAACATTTTTTTTCGCATTTTGTTTCTGGGGTCGAAGTACAGTACATCTGTCCGTTCTGTAGCTACGGGGTATCCGTGAGAGGGGAAACGATATTCTCTCGATGTTTTTCGTAAAAAAACAGACGCGCGTCCCATCAATAAAAATTCAACAAATTTGCAAGTAGCCAATAAAATGAGTGGGCGGAGCGATTTGCGGTGACGCACTCGTCAAATCGACGTATAAAATATATTGCTGTTTATTTAAATGTTTTTTTGTCCGCATTCCTTTCATAGACACAGATCCAGCAGATGTACTGTATGCTACCAGTTAAAATACTTGCACTCATTTCTGGGACGCCCTGTATAACCAAATATTATTTAGAAAATATTTCAAATTTGAAAAGAAAAACTACAGTAGAAGTAAAAATATTTTTACAAAAGTAGACTTTTGGGAAACATATTTTATTAAAAAAAAAACAGCGTTAAAAAAAGTTATTAAATAACATTATAATTATCAAAAGAATATATTAAAACAGAATTATAACGAGAAAACTTTCCTGAACTCGGTCCTTTTGAACTGGATGGCATGTGTCCATCAGCAGTTTACCATAAGCTGAAGAAGTACGTTTCTTGGATTGAGGAGTAAAAATTAGTTATTAAATAACATTATAATCATCAAAAGAATATATTAAAACAGAATTATAACGAGAAAACTTTCCTGGACTGGGTCCTTTCTAACTGGATGGCATGTGTCCATAAGCAGTTTACCATAAGCTGAAGAAGTACGTTTCTTGGATTGAGGAGTAAAAATTAGTTATTAAATAACATTATAATCATCAAAAGAATATATTAAAACAGAATTATAACGAGAAAACTTTCCTGGACTCGGTCCTTTCGAACTGGATGGCATGTGTCCATCAGCAGTTTACCATAAGCTGAAGAAGTACGTTTCTTGGATTTGAGGGTAAAAATTGGGTATTAAATAACATTATAATCATCAAAAGAATATATTAAAACAGAATTATAACGAGAAAACTTTCCTGAACTCGGTCCTTTCTAACTGGATGGCATGTGTCCATCAGCAGTTTACCATAAGCTGAAGAAGTACGTTTCTTGGATTGGGGAGTAAAAATTAGGTATTAAATAACATTATTACAATCAAAAGAATATATTAAAACAGAATTATAACGAGTAAACTTTCCTGAACTCGGTCCTTTCGAACTGGATGGCATGTGTCCATCAGCAGTTTACCATAAGCTGAAGAAGAACGTTTCTTGGATTTGAGGGTAAAAATTAGTTATTAAATAACATTATAATCATCAAAAGAATATATTAAAACAGAATTATAACGAGAAAACTTTCCTGGACTGGGTCCTTTCTAACTGGATGGCATGTGTCCATCAGCAGTTTACCATAAGCTGAAGAAGTACGTTTCTTGGATTGAGGAGTAAAATTAGTTATTAAATAACATTATAATCATCAAAAGAATATATTAAAACAGAATTATAACGAGAAAACTTTCCTGGACTGGGTCCTTTCTAACTGGATGGCATGTGTCCATCAGCAGTTTACCATAAGCTGAAGAAGTAAGTTTCTTGGATTGGGGAGTAAAAATTAGTTATTAAATGACATTATAACAATCAAAAGAATATATTAAAACAGAATTATAACGAGAAAACTTTCCTGAACTCGGTCCTTTCGAACTGGATGGCATGTGTCCATCAGCAGTTTACCATAAGCTGAAGAAGTAAGTTTCTTGGATTGGGGAGTAAAAATTAGGTATTAAATAACATTATAACAATCAAAAGAATATATTAAAACAGAATTATAACGAGAAAACTTTCCTGAACTCGGTCCTTTCGAACTGGATGGCATGTGTCCATCAGCAGTTTACCATAAGCTGAAGAAGTAAGTTTCTTGGATTGGGGAGTAAAAATTAGTTATTAAATAACATTATAACAATCAAAAGAATTTATTAAAACAGAATTATAACGAGAAAACTTTCCTGAACTCGGTCCTTTCGAACTGGATGGTATGTGTCCATCAGCAGTTTACCATAAGCTGAAGAAGTAAGTTTCTTGGATTGGGGAGTAAAAATTAGTTATTAAATAACATTATAACAATCAAAAGAATATATTAAAACAGAATTATAACGAGAAAACTTTCCTGAACTAGGTCCTTTCTAACTGGATGGCATGTGTCCATCAGCAGTTTACCATAAGCTGAAGAAGTAAGTTTCTTGGATTGGGGAGTAAAAATTAGGTATTAAATAACATTATAACAATCAAAAGAATATATTAAAACAGAATTATAACTAGAAAACTTTCCTGAACTCAGTCCTTTCGAACTGGATGGCATGTGTCCATCAGCAGTTTACCATAAGCTGAAGAA